TTCACCAACTCAAACCAAGAAATACGAGAATAATGAATGTTTCAGGATAGAAACAACATTGAAAAAGATGCTGCAACAAATCCTAAATGCTATCAACTCCACAATTTAATCTCGTGTGTGATGAGGCAAAAGGGAATTTGTTAATCATCCACCACTTCAATACAAGTTTAATGTTATGTTAGTTGAAGGAAATTGCTATGAGAAAGTAAAAACTATAGGTTGATGAAGTTTGCATTCCATATCATTGCTTATTTTCAATCCATTAAGTCTAATCTTTTTTTTAAAGTTTTAAGCAACAATAGTGCCAGTGAAAATTTTTGGAGATCCATAAAAAAGAATGAAACTAAAATGAGGAAGAAGAAATGACTTATTTAATTAAATAGCCTTTAATTAGACTAGATGTTTTTGTTTTGTAGAACCAGAAGTGCTACATCATTATAAAAGCTAAGGCAAGCATAAAAATAAGGATATTACTCCTAAAAGTGATCTATATTACTATAACATATACAAAGCTGGTTTTTTATTTGATATCATTATGTGTTGAAAACTTTGGAAAAACACTGTCGATATATGGTCTTAAACTCTATTAGAATTGTGCCTTGCTCATGTATTAGTTGCTTTAAGACTAAGGCCATTAGATGGGAACAAAGGTTTGATTACAATACCTCTAATTATCATTTTGCAATTGATTATCACAATAAATTGTAAGCTCCTGAATTTGTACTTCCTGGGAAGTCACCCAACCTAATATTATTTAAACCTAAAAACATTTAACCTCAAGTATCCCAAAACTATTAACCCATTGAAAAACGGGGTGCATTCTTGTTCATAGGCCCTTTCCTTTTATATTTGAACTTCATGGATCGTCTTTTGAATCGTTTTCTTTTATTGCTTACACAAACAAAATTAATAGCAGTTGTGAGAGATGTTAGATTTAAATGAAAAAGTAAAAAATCTTTGACATTGTTATGAAGACGATGGGGGAAATATTCTTTGAAGGTTACATCACCTCACAAAATATTAATTATGACCATTTAGAACTTCAATGCATAAGCAAATACTTAGAGCCTTGATATATAGGCAGACTTAGAGTCTTAGACAATTACTACAATTTATTAGTGCACTCTTGATCAATATTGCTAAACATGCTAGTGAAGTGCTCAACAAAGAGATTGAAATCTTAAAGAACATAATCACTTTTTTCAAAGAGCATGAAAAACCTTAAAAGAGGCATCCTAATAAAAAGAGATCTGATAGGCCCATACAAGAAGGCAGAGTGAAATATCAACTAAGTTGTATAACAATTCAAAGTCTGACTTGGTTGAAGAAGCCATGGAATTTAGACCACATGCCATCAAACTTTACTAGCATACCAATCTTTAGCTTTAAACTAGTAAACCATTGATAAAGTCGAAAAATTTGTTAGAGTTACAAGTGAAGTGTCATATTATATTGCTTCAACATTTTATATGACTTTTGTAGAGTATCAAGATCTAACTGGAGGTGAAGAAAAGAATCTAAAGAAGCTATAAATATTTAAGAATTAAATTGTTAAGAGCTCATCATCGAGTGAAGGGGAGATGACAAAACTATTAATAAAATATTTTTAAAAATGGAGAAAAAAAAAAGAGTTGTATCCAATATTTTGAATACAAAGTTCTCAAAACACTACTTTTATAAAGGTTCTAATTTCCAAAAACTTATATTTGGGTTTATACTAATCCCAAATGCCCATCCATGCATATAATAAGTCTGGAATTCAAACCCTGTTAATAGAAGTTTAGGGTTCAATTTCTATCATAGCCAATAGTGGTGAATATACTCTTTAGTAAATATAGAAAAATTGGCAAATACATGATATCTATGAATTAAACCTAAAGATTTAGGGGGAATGAATGTTGTGGGGTGTGGTATATGAGGAGAAGTTGAATGCTTAGCAATCTACCTTGAATTACATTCTCAACAATAATGATCCCATCATGTACCTCAATTTCTTTTTGAAGACACAGATAGAAAACATTTCAAATGACCACTTTGAGGATGCAATTAAGAATTATATGGCTGTAGTGGTGTACTAAGAGCTATTTGACAAGCTGATCATAGTAAAAAATGCACTTAGGGAAGGCTTTAGGCACTCAATGGTGATAGAGGCATGACAATGGCCACACTAGATTGGCATGCTATAGAGGTGCTAAGCAATATTGGTATTAATGCATTGCTTCCAAGTCTTCCATGCATAGTGATCACCATGATTGATATTCTCAAGTGCTTGCGCTTTGATCAAGATTTTGTGGAGCAGTGGGAATGGATTAGGGACATCATATAAGGTACTTAATTTCACTTGGTAGATATCTTTCTCATGTTTCTTCCTCCAAAGTTTAATTCCAAGTGGCTTATAAACTTTTATAATTATATATGTGATTCTTCAAAGTTTAGATTAGGAGAACCAATCTAGATTGTATGCAATAAGGAAAGCAAGGACTCATGAAGTTATCCCCGCTCCTTGAGATATGAATGACAAAATAGAATTCCCTACATTCTACCAAACCAAAAAATATATGGAATAACATGTAACCCCAAAACCTTTAATAGATTAAATAAAAAAGTGCACTCTTATTCATGGGTTGTTTCCCTCTATATTGAATCAATTTATCAAATTATTCTTTTTAGTTGCTTATAATTCATCATACTTTTTTATAAGTTCACATCTTATGAATGGAAGTTGAAAGTTGCAACTTTCTTAAGAGCCTCACACTTTACTCCTCAAGTCTAACTTAGCTAGACCAAACTAGACTACCAAATGTCATGGTGTGATTCCCTTAGCTAATTGATAGAATTGAACCTAAGACCTCTTTAATACCAAATATAAACTCTTGAGTTTAGTTATTCTCTTTAGTTATTTACATATTAATTTAAATATTCTTCAATAATCATATAACCATTGTCCTCTATATTATCCTTCTTGATTTATTTACCTATTGCATTTGTCTTTTTGCTAAAAGCCTTGTGAATAGCAGCCTTTATTGATAGAATGACAAACCCACCACCTTTGTGTAGCCAAATCTTTGCTTTGTATGTAAAGTAAAAACTTCTCTTGAGGTTTGCTCTCTAGGGAAACCCTTAACCTGTTCCATAAAGCAAGTGCAAGAAGGATTGAAGCATGTAAGAGAAGTATTAATGCAATAAAAACAAAGAGAAGAAGTTTTGCATACCAAGCATGGCACCTCTCGAATCTTTGAATATACCAATTTATATCCCCCACCAAACTACATATAATAGGTAGTTTTGCCCCATCCTTGCTCACCCAAACGCTTGCTTTTGAATTTGTACTTTAATAGCTACTTTATCTGATAAGCAAAGTGTATCTTACAACTAGAATTTGGCTTTCAATGTATATAGAATGAAATGCTTTATTATTGTGCTTACCAAAGCAAGTTTAGAATTGCTTTCAAGCCTTTTTGGCATTGCCACTAATCCCACCTCACTCTACATGATTGAGTCCTTGTAACTTACCTGTGGTTAATACTGCAGGAAGGAGAAGAGAAATGGTTACTATAATCTGATTTCATAAACTTAGTGAACTCATCATAACACCATCATCAATATAAGGAGTAGTTCCTATAACATCATGTCCCAAATTCCCAAACCCTTGTCCCAACTACCAACTCTTTGCCTCAGCCTTTTCATAGGTGGGAATGTGAGCATTTGTGAGAGCTCATATGATACGAGCCCATCAAAGTTAAATTGGAGTTGGCAAATTGAATGGCTATGATGGAGTTTTATGCCTTATGCATTGATGGGGCCATTGGAATGGCATCTAGATAAAGAATATCCTTAGTAGATTCCACCCCACATGGAAAAAGTAAAGACCTATGGGCAAGCACATGGCTTTTTGACACACGTTAAAACAACTGCATCTACAAATTGCACGCCATAACAGTACAATGGAATGTGCTTTAGAATGAACCTGATGTCAGGACTAAGAAGAAAAGTGAGTTGGAACAACGTTGGAGTGAAACTTGAATGCTTAAACAATGGAGCCGTTGGATTGTGAGGTGATTAACTAAGAAGTCTGACTAAAGTTGACTAAACATTCAAGCCTTCTAACGCCAAAATGCCCCCAAAACAAACATTCAGTTTCATTCCACCCGTCATATCAGGACTTAGCAAGATCTTTGTTCACATTACTATGGAACCCCCTGTTTTCCTCCACATCGTACCCAACCAGTCAATCATCCCCGAGACCGTTCTTCTTCTTTGCTCGCAGCTCTCCCTGGGCTTGCAGAAAGCCCCACACCCGGCACAAGCAGTCACCCCATAGGCATGATCCAACACAAGCTCTCCTCTAGCTGATAGAGTCCATTGCCCACGAGAAGCGTGATCCTTCCTCCACCACACACGAGGCCCCGAAAGTCATCGAATGAATGATCCATATCGATCTCCCTCTCAGTCCCAAAGCAGGACTCGTATCTCTTTGGAAGTGGAACCTCCTTCCAAGCACTGGCCTCCACCTCCAGGCTCATCAACCGGGCATCATTGTTGCCAAGTTTCTCCATGAAATATGTCACCCCGTGTGGTATTGGTTTGTCTTTGATTCGTTCATAGTCTCCGGCTGATAACGACGATCTTGAGGAGCTCGTTGGTTCTTTCGTCCACCAGCATGGAGATGATCGAAGTCCTGCAAGCTTTGCTTGGCGACCTGGGAATGCTCCGGTTCCATCCGCTCACTGGATGAGATCGAGCTTGCTGTTGGTTCCCATGCGCACCAGCCACTGCGAATAATCCACCACATACCTCCGCGTGAGGAAATTCGCGGGCAGTTTGAATTGAACCTGTGCCAGGAGCCCAGCCGGGGAAAGCACGTCTGCCCTCCCCCACCATCAAAAACCAGCGCTCGCGCTTCATCGCCCATGCACCGGAAGAGATCCAGAGAGCGCCAGCCATGCCAAGATCAAAGAACCTAGATTAAAAATCTTTCATATAAAGGCTTGGCAAATTAGTTAATTTTGTTTCATTTGTTGCCTAGCAAGTATTTAAAATAGAAAATACGCTGAACAGTAATAGCCAACAAATATTACACAGATCAAAGCAGTGGTGTGCTTCCATACACCCTGTCATTAAATAGCTTCATGACAGACTCTGCGGAGTCCACAGAAAGATCAGTTGTCTCCATTATAGACTCCCGGCTCGACCTTGAAATGGCTTCCAAAGATCCCACTCCCTGCACAAGCTGAGATGCAGTAGCTAGAAAGAAACCTTATGGTCCAAGCACTCACTGAATGGGCGTCATGGAGCTCCAACTTTGGAATAGAGGAGACACATGCCATCCGCGCATCCTCGGACTGAACAAACTGCTTTCTCTGCAGAAAAGTGTGGGAAAAAGAAACACAAAAATAAATCCTATCAAAGCACCTCGAGATCAACCATTCCAGTGATGCCTTGGCGCTTGCATTCTGCTCAAACGATGTTAGAGCAAGAAGCAAAGGATGGGATTGACACCACCTGCGTGAACAAAAGCAATCCGGATCATTTTCTCCAGCGCCATATGCTTGCTCGGTACCGGAATAAAAGCTGGTTTGTCACCATCGAAACCAAGGCTGGAAAAGAGCAAAAGTTAAAAAACACAGTTGTAAATAGTAGCAGGCCACCTGAAGTAGAACTCCGAAAACACGCTGTAGTCAGACTCGGACGAGAGTGTGACGATGACATAGGAATTCTGGAAAGTCCCTCTCATCTTTAGAATCCTGCGTAGATACATAAAAGTCAAATCCTAGACGAGGCAAAGCTCGGACAGATCACCTTTCGGCCTCGCATGCAAGCTCCTTGTGAACATCGTCCACCACGACAAAAGCGATGGACACTCCTGCGTTGCTGAGAATAAAGTCCTAGAGCCATCCAGCCAAAGTATGAAATAAGCTAGACTACAAGACAAAGAAGACTAAAAGAACACGCAAGGAAATAGAGATGGAACCGGAGCTATGGCAGAGAATCTGAGACGATAGGAGGCCGCCTGGAGCAGCGCGCTAAGCGTGGACACGGCGTCTTGCGGGTGTGACTGGCGCCAGAGCTCGCTGCAAATGCAAACTCCCGCCATGGAAAGATTTGAAGGCGAGACGAGCTCGCTCGATCGAAGCAAGGAATCACTCAGCGATCCCCACGATGGCCTGCGAGGCCCTGCAAATCGCGATCATCCATTAAACCCTAGAAACCCCACATTACATTACACAAGAAAATCACCGTCAAACCAAAAGGGCAAAGGCTCGTATTTTGAGAGACTTAAAATGTGGTTGGAAGTTTGCTCGTCATGCAATAAACTGCTGGAGGAGGAAGTTTTCGGTCCTTTTCACTATGATGCGAGAAAGAAGAAGAGCCTTTTGGCAGTGGTGGCAGCCAAATCCTGCCTATGTTTCCTATGCCTTGTTTGCTGGCTCTCGCTTTTGTCATTGGACCTCTTTTCCATTTTCTATAAATTCCTTGTAGGCCCTCTGGTGTTCTTGTGACGCTTCAACTGCGGCTACGACTCTTCAACGAGCGGAAGGAGTTGAATGGAATAAACTGGCAGGAGAGAAAGGAGAGGAGAGGAGTGACGATTCTTCAATATTTTTCCAGTTGAGCACCGACGAACAGGAATGGTTGGTTGCTGATAGAAATAGAGAAAGGATGTGTTCGCTTTGCTACCAAAGGCTATATGGCAACACCCAGACAAACACACACTAGAACAAGTCAGGCCATGCATAGAAAACGTTTGAGCCGGGAGAGCCTCCAAGCCCGAAAGTGGTCCCGGAGAAGAGGGTGCACGAATGTATGGCTATGGAGGACGCTTCGTAGATAGATGGGGTGGAATGGAACCTTTCACGCGATGGGTCGATAGAACCTTTGCCCGTATGGCCTGGATGGATCGCTCTACATGCTTGCCAACGAAAAAGCTCTTTTTTACTTTGGCTGTAGAAAAAGGTGGGCGAGTGATCAGTGAGGAATGAATCTGGAGGGGTAAATGGTCGATCCCAGGAAGATTTTTGGGTGGTGGTGGTGGACAAATTAGATTCTCCAACGCATATGATGCTCGTGATGATTCAAAGTGTGTCCTCTCTAGTGAGGAGCAGTGCTTGTTTCTTACAGGTCAACACCCCACCTCTGCAGTAAAAATCACGCGACCTTTAGCCTTTGGGGAAAAAAAGAGGAAAAAGCAAAAAGAAAACGATTTCCTTTTTTAAGAACAACAATCTCAATCTCAGCAGTGCATGATCTTCTTCTACACCAGCACGAACACGAAAGAATTATATTGACATCATAAGAGAAATTTTTGTTTCTACCTGTTTAGATAAATCATTACTCCATCCATCCATCGATCGATCAATCGATCTCGAAAAAATATCTAACACCCCAGGCCCTTGGGTGTTTTGGATGGAGATGGATGCGCGTGGAGCAGCGTTTGGTGGCGCTCCTCTCACTCAGTCTTTTGTGGCAGGCAGGGGCTATTTATGAAGAAGCAGTCCTTATGAGCTGTGAAAGCTCTGGCTTCTCTCGTCCCCTTCTAGCAAAACAAACACACACACACACACACTCTTGACATAGAACAAACACTCCCCTTTCTTTTTTGTCCATGCCCTTGTAAATGCTGCCCCTTCTCGCCTTCGTACACGTTTTCCTTCCAAAGTTGATCACTCATTCATTCTCCTTTGGATCCATTCATTCTAAATTCCGCCTCTCTATACCTTGTAGAGTTTCCCGAGTTTCTTATTTCTACGCTTATAATTCGCGGTTTATCCTTTTCTTTTGCCTAATTTTCCATATTTTTGGGATTAAATATTTGTTGCTGTTTCACTTGAGTGACTTTCCTAATCAGGAACTGAGCACATATAAAAGCCGCAGTAGTTTCTCTCCATATATAAGTGCGGCAGTTTGTAGTACTCTCGAGTACTCGCTTAATGGTTTTGCTCTGCTAGATCTGACTACTCTCCCTTCACTCTCTCCGTTTTCTCGATCCTCTCGAGGGAAAAGGTTGCATTGATTCCACCATTCTCGTGCGCTAGAAATTCTCCGCACCCCTCTCTTCTCCCGGTAGTACACAGCGCATCAAATCCCTCTCTTTCCAGATCTTGAACGACATATGATTGCCCAAAGTTTGATCTTGTCCTGGATGACTTACCTTTCCTGGCTGGCTCTCACTCCACCAAGTCACTAGATGATCACCATCATTGATCCTGGCTCCTTGCAAACCGCGAAGAACACACTTTAGTGGAAAGAAAGAGAAAGAATCTATGTACGATCGGCCCATGGATCCGCTCCAGCTGCTGCCACTTCTCCTCGTCGTCATCGCTGCGGCTGCGGCCGCCTTGTCCTGGGGAGCAAAAAAAGCGGCGGAGTTTTTGTGGCGGCCAGTCCATCTGAGACGGCTGCTGCGGATGCAGGGGCTGGAGGGTCCTCGTCCCAAATTCCTTGTAGGAAACATGGACGAGATCACGAGGATGAAGGAGACAGCCTTCCACCAGCCCATGGAAATTGGGGACCATAATCTCCTCCAGAGAATCTGCCCATACTACTTGGAGTGGTCCAAGCTCTACGGTAAGTTTGCACCTCGGTCATGATTCATGATACTCCTCCAATTCTTCTTTCTTCTCTCTTTTTGTTTTGTGCTTGTAGTGATTTTTCTATTCCTGCAGGACGAACATTTGTGTTTTGGTGGGGGACGGAGCCCAGAATCACGGTGACAAGGCCCGACATGATCAAGGAGATACTGTACTCAAAAGCAGCACACTTTGGAAAATCAGCGCTGCAGCGAAAAGGTGGAGCCGTGCTGCTGGGCAATGGCCTGATCATGGCGAACGGCAGCGACTGGGCTCATCGCCGCGCCATCGTCTGCCGCGCTTTCAAGATGGACAAGATCAAGGTATCATCGAGATTGCTAAGTTCGTAGTTCTTCTCTCGCGCGTTTTTTCCTTTCGAAACTTCTTTCCAAAGTTACCAAGGTAGAAGAACGATTGAAAGATTTGGATCGCAGGAAATGGTACCCTCTATGCTGGAGAGCACCAAGAATCTCATCCGGAGATGGGATGCTCACTTGGAGCTCAACGGGGGAGCTCCCTGCGAGGTGGATGCTTATCGCGACCTGGCTGTTGTCACAGCCGATATCATCGCTACCACGGCGTTTGGGAGCAGCTATTCGGATGGGATCAAGCTCTTCCACACATTGACATCCATCCAGAAGCTGTTTGTTCAATCCAATAAGTATCTGTGGCTCCCAGGAAGCAGGTACTATACAATACTTTTACATACTCTTTCTTTTTCTTTTTCCTCTTTCTTTCCTTCCTTTTCCTACGTGCGTTTTACGTAGATTCAATGCTTTTCTTACCAGGCTTCTCCCGACGAGAACGAACAGAAAGATCCGCAAGCTCCAGAGGGAGATGCAAGCTTTGCTCCAGGATCTCATCAAGGCTCGCCTCTCGAGCCCGTCACTGGGCACCGATCTACTGGCTTTGATGCTCTCTGCAGTCGAGGAGGATCCCGGCAATAAGGTGCAATCATCCAAGTTCAAGTTCACAATCCAGCAGCTGATCGAGGAGTGCCAGACTTTTTTCTTCGTCGGGCACGAGACGACGCTGATGCTTGTGACTTGGGCAATGATGCTGCTGTGCTTGCACCCGGAGTGGCAAGACCTCGCCCGCAAGGAGGCGAGACAAGTTCTCCAAGAGTCAAATAGAGTAGTGAACGCGGATACGCTCGCAAAACTGAAAACGGTACGTATACCTAGTCTAAAGAACTCTCCATATCATATCCCCACCAAAATGTTCACATGATTGTTGATAATTGCCATGACCAGGTGGGGATGATCATCAATGAAACGCTGCGACTGTATCCTCCAGCCCCGAATCTAGTCCGAGCAGCACTCCAAGACACTTGCGTGGGCGATCTCTACGTCCCCAAAGGCACCACCTTTTGGATCCCCATTCTGGCCCTTCACCAGGACAAGCACCTCTGGGGCGAAGATGCTCACGAGTTCCGGCCACAGCGGTTCAGCCAGGGCGTATCCAGGGCTTGCAAAACATACGATTTCCTCCCCTTCTCTTCAGGACCCAGGATATGTGTGGGCCAGTCCTTCGCAATTATGGAGGCCAAGCTTATTTTAGCCATGATTCTCCAGCATTATCACTTGGGTCTCTCGCCCCGCTACAAACACTCGCCGGTTTCTTCCGTCACCCTCAAGCCAGGGTTGGGAATGCAGCTCATGATCAAGCGCTGTGACTAACTTGTTTAGATTTTTCTTTCTGCTTTGAAAATCTGTAGACTATGATGAAGACTATGACTACACTGTATGGTCCACGGACGAGAACATAAGAAGCCAAGGAGAACAAAATCTTTGGTCACAAATGATCAACAACAACCTTTTATTCGTAAGGAAAAAAATAATAAAAGGATAAAATCAAAGAACTTACAAACTATGAGTATATGTTATAGGTGTATGACAAAAAAGGCAGCAAGTACTTTTCTTCATGAAATTTCTTAAGTTACTTTATTATTAAAAATGATATTCATTCTAACGTAGTCTTAGACCATATCAACATAAGATGCCCTTTAGAAAATATATATATAAATTATAAATAGAAGATTAATCTTAATGAATAACAATCATTAGATAGTAGAATAAAGCAAATATCAAGGTACATTAGCTATGTTTTTATTGGAGGTCAAACATCTCCAACATTTCGATATTCCATTTCTATATTCTATACACTTATATTGGTGGAGGTGAAAAGCAACTTTGATTGTCCCTGCAAGTGTTTAGATTTGGGATTCTACTTTAGATCTAGCTTTTGCATTGTTTAGATTTCCTTTTTCTTATAGCTTTTTCAATTTCTTTTTTTTTTGCTTTTATCCTTTTCATTGAGTAGCAACTTCCTCCTCCTTTGACTCTGGAGCAACAATTGGTGCAATTGCTTAATACTATGCAATTGCAATTGAATAATTAAACTTAGTTGATGGTGGTATTCATGTCGCATGGTACAACTCTTTCTGCTCTTGTTGTCAATCCTTGAGTCCAGTTAAAGTTCTTTCGTGGAAATCTTGGGATGATGTGTACCATTAGTTCAATTACTTCACGGTAATTACTATATATCATTCTTGGGATGATGTTTGGCGTTTGCCACATGTCTCTAAGGGATGGCATTGCAACAGTACAGTGGTTTGGGTGCAGCCAGTCATGAGGATTGAAGCATTCTCCTAAACATCTTTAAACATGCATTTGGATATGCTGACAATTGTGATAATGCCTTTCAAAAATTGTATCATCTCCATTAAAAACCATTTAAGTTCATGATACAATTTGGCATTCATATCTAAAGTCTCTTACTTTATGTAAAGCCTAATATGTTGGAATAGATCAAGTTGGGAATGTTGTAATTAGCACTTTGTTAAGATCTTATAAAACTTGTGCATACACTTGCTCTAGCCACTTTTGACAATGTTCTTCATTAATCACAATTTTATGAGATATTGCCTTTTTCACTTTTCGTTACATGTCTTTTAGCTCCACTTTCTGTGGGAAATGGTTCTATTCCAATAGAAGTTGATGCTACTGCTGCCCGAATTCAAGGACAAAAGTGATTTTTCGGATTGGCAACCTCTATTTCCTTGGTAAAGATTTTGGCATCAACAATGTCCTATTAGTATTACTGTAGTGGAAGATTTAGACATTAAGATGTTTCTAGGAAATGAAGAGTCATACAAGTAATGAAGGGTCTTTGTGCAAATATATCAGTTCCATCTTTCCTCGAGGAGTATTATCAAAGGGTTCACTTGGTAGTAGTTCATCTAGTGTTTACTTTCCAAGTTCATTTTTATAGCAAAAGGTCTTTTATTATTCTCTCTATGTTGGTTGATATAGGTTTAAATTTATCTTCTATTGCTATATGTTACCATCTATATTTGTGTCATGTGGCAGAGCTAGTTTTCATTTTGTATGACAACAGCCATACACATACATGTGCATAGGATAATATAGACTTAATTGTATATGTAAGCAATTTCAAACTTGAGTTGCAATCATTGCAAGTGGTGCCAAATCAAGCTTTTGACCTCATCTTTAGTATAAATTAATTGCGGCACAATCATGCCAAATGTGACTTTGAGGCATCTCCCCCTTATCTCATACTTCCTTATATTGTTTTCATTCCTCTCACTTTTATTCCTCTTAGTCATGTTACTTTTACCTTTATTTCCATCACTTTTGTCTCTCCATTACTTATTCCTTTGTTTCTTCTTCCCATCCCTCTAACAGTCTTTCTATTATAATGGTTGACCGGCTTATGAAGCAAGATTCTTATTTGTTGTTAGATCAAAATTTTACATGCAAACGTTAAAGAGATGTTAGAAAAGAGTGTTATTCGAAAGTCGTGGAGTCCTTAAGTGTGTGAACCTTATCTTGTGACATAGTTTGATGGGAGTATTCATTTTTGCATTGACTATCATTTGTTAAATGAAGTGATGATCCCAGATGTGTACCCTCTTCCTCACATTATAGATCTCTTGAATTATCTAGGGAGAAGTCATTAATTCACTAAGTTAAATCTTGTTTTTAAGTACTGGCAAGTACCAATAGCCAAAGAAGATATTTCTAAAATTGTTTTTTATAACAGGCCTTTTCCACGGTCGATTGCTAGTAATGAATATGTGATTATTGCTTCTAACTACTTGACTCATTGGGTGGAAGTTAGTGCTCTTATTAGTGCATTTGCCACTACTATTAATTACTTCCTTCTCAATCAAATAGTGTTCTAACATTGTTATCTAGAGTAAATTTTTTCAAATAATAATCCTGCATTTATGGCTGAGGCATTTCAGGTTTTAATATCTTGGTTGGGGATACACCACCCTTTTTGAGTGCTTATTATCCATAGTCTAATGGTTTAGTAGAGCAGCTCATTCAAACATTCAAAGGGATAATCATGAAATATGTGAACTTTTAGTATTCGGATTAGAATGGTTATTTACTGTCTCTTCAATATGTGTATATCACAAAGAGTGTAGGGTTTTACTAGTGTTTCACCAAATAAACTCTTATATGGTTATGATCTGATACTACCAGTGGAGTTGAGGTTTACCTTCATGATTACCACGAGCTACTGATGCTAGATCTTAGGATCAGTATTTGGTGAATGTTCTTCCATTTATCTGAGTAAAGTCTACTAAACATCTGGGCCATATACAAGTGGGAAAAAATAGTGCTACAATTTCCATCATTGCCACCTACAAAGTATAAAGTGGATGACTTGGTGTTAGTCTATTTTCCTAATCTTATGGTATGTGGTTTGGCTAAGAAGCTTCTTGTTTAATGGAAGGGACCATATCAGGTGTTGTGGCAAATTGAACTACAAGTTTTTGAGATTTGTGTAGGTAAGTTCAATGTGAACTTACCTGCATATAGGCTTAGGTTTGGTAGGCCTAAATCACTAGGCCTGAGGTTTAGCATAGAACAATTTTTACATTTCATTTCAATTTCTGTACATGTGAAAGTTGGATGCAAAGATTAGATAAATTTTAGAAATTATAACTTTGAAAATCCAATTTTTAAATCTTATGGTATATCATTTTTTTAAATATCTTTTGGACATTCAGCTGAGGTGGTAGCATTATTTAAAATCTGGGGTGCAATATCCTGTTAGATGCCATGTGGCCAGAGGGTTTAGAGTTTAGCTTGCCACTCTGATTGTGTGATTTGTGGCTTGCTTACATTCTCCTATCTTCTATTGGGCAATCACAAAAGTAACTCTACAAGCAAGTAGGCTTATGATGAACAACAAGATTCTTGTATAGACCAAAGCCAAATTGATGGAGGGCTATAAGATAGGTTTGAAAAGAAGTTAATTGCATCACTATTTATCTATAGGCTAGATTTGTATGTATCCCATAAAAAGTGTGCAAAAGGTTGAATCACTCCTTTGTTAAATTCTTCTATAACATGAGAACTTCAAAATTTCTTATGGATGGAAAACTAAGGGATGTAGCCATACTAAGAGCTGTATTGACTCACATTTATCCCGAGTGAGTTCAACATTGGAGACTTGAACTAATTCTTTGCATCCTATTCAATGTTGAGACAGTAAAAGAGTTATCTTTTACATTTCTTTATATGAAATAATTGTCATTGATTTTTGAAAAGCACTACAAGCTAGAGCCTCAGGGGCTTTACTTACATAACATCATTGATGGTGGCTTGTTAAACAACTTATAATTCTTTTTTTTTCTATGCAAAAACTCACTATATAAGAAGCATGGTTGTTACAATGATCAAGGGCCCACTCTATATAAATGCTATTGAGAAATACAGAATGGTCAAATGTATATATGGTGCATGATTGGGTAGGGGAGTTCAATGACATGGGAGGGCAAAATTCATATTGTTCATCCATGCACAACTAGGTTAAACTACCTCTTGAGAATAAGTGTGTTTGTTCCCAATGAATTGAGCACTTCTGGATTATGGAGATATAATGCAAGGTGATATGGTATTGGATCTAAACAAAAAATTGATAACAAACTAACTCAAATTACCCAAATCATAAATTTTTATTAAAATAACTGCAGAATTTTGAGTTTTTGTTAATAATAATTGATTTTGATAAATGAAATTTTAAAAGTTTTGACCAATTCCTAGTACTATTGTAGCATGCAATAACCCTACTTCAAGACTATGCTACTTACCATAGAGTGTCACTTTCTTATTGATATAAGCAACAAGTGGCATATTCATAGCATACTTGAGGTTTTTATGTCAATTTCTTGTAGTGGCTTGAACATATCAACACTTGAAATCTAGACATGATCACAAGAAGGCATGGATATTATGCTACACACATCTACTTGAGAGTTCCAGCCAAACAAGCACAACTTAAGGTAAGGTACATTGAAATTGCATGCATCTAATCCAAGATTCTATAGTTTAATAGTACTGCTACAACAGAAGATATTATCCCACAAAATGGTGTTTGAGAACCCCACACACTTATACATATGGATAAGGTATGGGAGAATTAATACATCTCTGTGATATTGTGTTCAAAAGTAACATTCAAAGTCACCATTTCCATCAAATACTGGTATTGCACTATACACTCACACATGAGTTTCTATAAACATCCATCATTGCTTGAACTTGGTGTGTACTTGGAGTCTCCTACAGCATCCCTAAGGAAAGAAAAGACACATACATGACTCTTCTTTTTGCTTAGAGGCCTGTGTAGCTCTACAATTGAAATTAGTACTACATATATTTATTATAATAAGAATATTGACACGTTGC